AATAATATTTTATTTCACAGAAAAATACGAGGAAACCTCAAAACCCCAATTAGCAGAGCGTAGAATTCCATTATTACTGATTAGCATTTCACTCAACTTAATTGCAAAACCAGAAAAATTTCTATCGAGAAAAGACATGATGATCCATTTAACTCCCATATTTGAGAGAATACAGGAATAACGAGTTCCTGATAAGTGAAGCATCATTTTTCGTCATCTCTCGAGAATTACAAGGAATAATTAGACGATCATCCAGGATTCTCAACCACATTCCTCGTTAACTACCAAATCCATTTTTCCAACAAAACCATTTCAAATAAACAATCTAACAATTTCTCAAATCATTGAAAAAATCGAAGTGACTCTCTTCATTTAATTATCATTTAGACTGAATGAATTAAACACAAAAATGGAAATTGTCCATTTTTTTTGTACTATCTTTTATCGTTCGATATGTTCTTTTATTTGCATGTGTTGTCAGAATGTTTTCAAACTCTTGAAAGCGAAAAAAATCCCAATGGAAAAATAACATTGTTTTACAATTTTTTTCTCTGCATCCAATAAACTCCGTTTAGACGATACGGTCTCACGTTTGACAGTATACAGAGGATTTTTATTTTTTCCGATAAAGTACGTACGTTTATTCTGTATAGGAAATAGTGACGAGACAGTGGTACAATAGTCCGAAGGGTGAAAACATATAATAAAAAAAAGCGGAGGAAAAAAAAAAGGAGAAATAGCGGATCACAGATGCGACGTTTTATTGACGTGTCTCCGTGTGCGCGATGCGTTTCGCTTTTACCAATACGATTGCTCCATTTCATGGCTGACGTCTACAGCAAAAAAATAGGGGGCGAAGTGTCGCGATTGACAGTAAAGTGAAGATGAAATGTATCAAATAACAATTGCGATAGTGTTTGATGTGTCTATTGCTTGCCTCCATTTGAGAACATGATTTTATCCACAACTTTCATATACATCTTGCAAAACAGTTTTCACACACTCAACGATTCATTGCTGTCTCTTGACATTTCATGTTTTTGTTTCTGAATGAAAGCTTTGCAATTCATCAATTTTCACCTTTTCTCATTTTCCTCGGAAATTTTTCATGATAAGAATCCTCATATAACTCTTTAATTGAAGCATATATTCATTTTTTCACTCGAAATTTCACATTTTTTGGGACAGAATGACCGTTTTTCTGCTAGCGAATTGGAAAATTACATTTCAAGAAGAAGTTTCCATTTGTATTTATGTAGGTGACTAAAAAGTTTTTCGCGGATAAATCAAAACCGAATTCCAAGATGTGGACAATTGAGCTAGTGATTTTCCGAAAATTCGCGGCGTTGACGTCGATTCAATTGAGGCCCCAAGGTTGGCCCAATATTGAATCAATGTTCAAATAATATTCATGTGAATATTCAAAGAAAGAAAGAATTTAACTGAATAAACAAAGATTCAGTTAAGATTTCTCTTGAAATCTGAAAATTTCGGGCTTGTGCTATTTCTTAGTTAAAACATAACTCGCACCTCACCTTCCGCTTCTAATCGAGTGGTATTTTTTAAACGTAAGTTAAAACATCATGAAATCATTATATTTCAATATTTCACTACTTTCTTTTTAATGTACAAATCACCAAACTTTTTTATCACTCGATAGTAGTATTAATTCCGACCACCTTTGATGACCCTTTTACGAAAAACGATAAACCTACATTTAAACTGATAGAAGACTCACTCAAAAGTAAAAGAATGAAGAATTAATCTTCAAAGATTAATATAATTGTCTTGTAAAATCATATCATAATGCAAAATCCTATCCAACGATTTCATGTGACCTCACGAAATATAGAACGCCATATAAATTTTCCGTCTTTGATGAATAACAATTGCGATATAAGAAGAAATCTAAAATATAGAAAGGGTTGGAAGCCATAAATAAATCTTTTTAACA